AACAGACACTACAATATTCAACATTCTACTTATCAGTACAACAGACACTACAATATTCAACATTCTACTTATCAGTACAACATTCAGCATTCTACGTACCAGTACATCAGACACTACAACATTCAACATTCTACTTATCAGTACAACAGACACTACAATATTCAACATTCTACTTATCAGTACAACAGACACTACAACATTCAACATTCTACTTATCAGTACAACAGACATTACAATATTCAACATTCTACTCACCAGTACAACAGACACTACAATATTGAACATTCTACTTATCAGTACAACAGACACTACAATATTCAACATTCTACTTATCAGTACAACAGACACTACAATATTCAACATTCTACTCATCAGTACAACAGACACTACAATATTCAACATTCTACTTATCAATATACAGATGTTCTTCGTCATCAAGTATTAATAAGTTACCAAATGGGGTTATATTGTCAGATAAACCTTCCAATTCTGGTACTAAATTTACCTGAGTGCTTTTCAAGAATTCATATTTCTGGAAGTCTTGCCTGAAAACAAACTTGTTCCTGTCTGATGTTTCACTATCCCAAGTGTTATACACATGTAATACCTCTTCATGATCTTCGAGGCTACGTTCTGTAAGGTAAAACAATGAACAATTTAACTAATCTAACAATAACACTCTATATAGAAAAATTATAGTGGTATCAATGAAGCACAATTTAAAAGATGGAGATGCAAAACGTAAACCAAAAACGCATTTGTATAGTTAGAAACTGACCAAAGACTGCTAACAAGTTATAGATACTTTTTTGATAAAAAGAGTTAGCACAAAGGGTCACTTATAAAGAGTAATAGAATTAAAATAGGACCCAAAACTCGAGCGCATTCGAATAGTTGACTATTCTTCATCAGGAGAACAAAGGAGAAAGCGCTCGAGTTTTGGGTCTTATCTTAAGTTATATATACTATATTCAAAAGCATTATATCAAAATATCTGATTCAAACAACCAGAACTGGCTATAAACCACGCTTAAGTGACTTATTTTTTAAGATATGATTGGCACAATTAAAACAATAGAATGATTCCTTAATTTGATTTTGACAGCTAGGAGTAAGGATAGCTAAAAAATACTGCTCATACACCACGTGAGCTGATATTTGACCACCCAAAGTCAATTTGAATTAAAAACCTTCAGATTCGTAACGTTACTGTTCAATATCCAAAACTTAAAACTATAAAACTCACTTATTATACTTTTACGACCATTTTTTTTATATTCGTTGTAAAATATATGTAGTATAATTTCTATACGCGATATTCTGTTTGTTTATAGTTAAACACATAGTTACACAATGGGTTATGTGTGATGTGCCATCCATAGGCATCGAAACTCGGTTTTTAGCATTGTAAGCCTTAGTGTGGTTTTTCTCAGAGTACTCCCGTTTTTTACCCACCGCGAAGTCTTTGACATTGGATCTATCATACACTCTTCAGCATCGAATCCACTTCCACTGATCCCAAAATCCCCCCCATTTTCCCCACGAAGTATCCTCCATATCCCTCTCACACCATGAGAGAAATTCATTAATTCCCGGGTCTTCAAACCACGATTATGATGATAAATAAAACTATACAATTAAACTTTTACTACAACTAACTACTTCGTAAAATTCCAATTTCAAATATAACTGAAAACCATTCTTAAAACAAAAAAACTCTGATTTTGTATTTTTTAACATAACAACGAAACTACCCCTATTTTTATTACAACGTCTTCAATATAAATCTAAATAACTCAACTCAGATCCTCAAACTTACACGAAAGGTTATTTGTGTAATTCAAAATTTATGAATATGATATGATTACTTTTTTTTTACTTCCAAATGAGAACATTTCTAATGCTTTACGAAAAAATTAAGCTTTATAATGAAATTAACAAGTTTGATCCAAAAATATTTTCCTATTAAGTTTATACTTATCATACAGGTGTTTTGAATATACTTAGTTTAGTTCTTGAAATTGATAAGGCATGTAAACTATATTAAAAAAAAACGTTCTTATAAAAATGATATGCACAAATGAGACGAAAGTAATGTCATTAATTAAACATGTGGCCACCTAACCAATCATGACCGTTAAAACTTTACCGCCATTACAACTTACCAATTTTCAAGCTATGCAGCTGTTCCACTATAGACCACGTATGAGATCGTGCGAGATTAAACTTTAGGGTTAATAAGTGACAAAGGTCAATGACTCTGAGGCCTTCTTCAACAATCATCTGCTGTTGGCTTCCATTTTCTAAGTGGAAAGTCATTGTCACCTAGTGACAAAAAAAAGTTTGGTATATTATTATAAAAACTAATATCTGCTACCAAATGATATTAAGCTCAAGCTTTGTATGGAAGACGAATTATATCTAGCTATCTATTTACGAAAACATTACATAATTTCATCGGTGGAAAAAATCGGCGAAGAATACAGAGCTAGCTAGCTCCCTAATAAGTGAATTGTACCTACGTCAACTCGAAATTACTGGCTCATTGTGAACCCTCGATAAGACATCAAGGAGTTTTTAGACTAGAAAGAAGACTTTGTATTGCTTGTAAGTTTGTGGAACCTTTGTATATAAATTACTGTGTGTAGTTGCTATTTGTAATAATTGTTATTGTAAATTATGTTGTTGTTTGTATATTAAAACATATTTGTGTTAAAAAAGAAAAATGTGTGTATCAATCTTGTTGGCAAATATCATAAATTGGAGATATATCGGCATATATTTAATCACTAAATTTAAAGTATCAGTTAACTCAGTTTCAGACCTTTCGAAATTGGAATACTAATAATATAAAAAACATTAATAAGAATTTTAAGGCAGATATCATCGTTTCCCAAATTTTAGTAACAATGACCCAGTACATTGTCATAAGAAATGTGTGGCGGAAACATAATAAAGGAGTTAAACACGGTTTGTTGTGAATTTTTAAATCCTAGCTTCCTTGTACACATAATTCAACAGCTTTATTTAATGTTTAATTATGTCACAAGGCACTAACGGAAGAACTATTTTCTTTCGGTAAGAGTATTTATACTATACTGACTGACAGGACTTACCGTAATAAGTCCAATGAAGTAGTTTTCACACGTTTTTTGAACCTAATATCCTTGCAGTATAAGGCATATCAGATTTGTTATATATTTTACATGGGCAACCACTGCAATATGAAACTAAGGGAAAATGTTCATTCTCATAAGTTAAGGTTGTTTTCAGCACTATTTCGTACAATAAGGCCCCAACAAAGTGGTTTATTAAGTGTTCTACAGAGTGAAACGTCCCAATAGCAACATTTTCTAACAACGTTGTTTATGTAGGTGTCGTATCGAGTGAAACTCCATAACAGCAACACAAAATATTTTCTAACAACGCGGTTCCGAGATGTGGTCTATTAAGTGTTCTACAGAGTGAAACTCCACAACAGGAACACAAAACATTTTCTAACAACGTTGTTTATGTAGGTGTCGTATCGAGGGAAACTCCATAACAGCAACACAAAACATTTTCTAACAACGTTGTTTATGTAGGTGTCGTATCGAGGGAAACTCCATAACAGCAACACAAAACATTTTCTAACAACGTTGTTTATG